GGGGGGGGGAGTGGGTAGGCTAAGTCCATTGGCACGCAGGAAGGAGCCTGTTTGTGAGAGAGCTCATGATAGCTATTGACTGGATGAGTGAGGTAGGTAGGTGGGACTTGCTGCTTGTAGGCCCAGCCCAGTCTCACAGTGCCTCCTCCTCCCACTGAGAAAGAACAACTGCTGGTGGCTGCTACGGGTTGCTGCTGCATGTCGCTAGATCAAAGGGGAGCCCATCTGCTTCCTTCATTCCTGCCCTATGCTGAGGCAAATATCTATGCACCAAGGGCTAAAAATGTGCTAGTGCACAGCAGTAGAGGGAACACTGGTGATGACTAGAGACAGGACTCTTTCTGTTGTGTCACCCACCTCTGGAAGGCCCTTCCCTTTGAGGCTTGCCTGGCATCTACTTTACTTTCATTTAGGCACCAGTTGGAAACATTTGTCTTTATTCAGGCTCTTAACTAAGGGAGTCTGTCCTTTTAAAAAAGCTTATCTTCTAGCCTGAGGATGGTTCTGTCAATATCATTGGTGATTTTTTTTAGGTTTTTAATTTTGTATCGGATTGTTTTGCTGTGCTTTTATTGATTTCTTTTATTGTTTTTATTGCATGCTGCATTTTGTTTTATTGTTGTGTGCTACCTTGAGCAGGTCTGGAGAGGTGGCATACCATTTTCTGAGTAAATAAAATGGAGCATCACAGCATGGAGAAAGATGGGATATGATAAAATGAATCACTTGTGTCAGAGTGTCCCAATTTTTTTCAACCATAGGTAGAATGATCTTTGAGGCTCCACACTGTGTCTGTCCTCAGCCTTAGCCACTCAATAACAACTCTGTTGTAGCAACATTGTCAGAGTTAAAAGGGTCAATGCTTGGTGTATGAGTATGAGACATGACTCAAATGTGAGTTATGCAAAGATTTGTTCATACTCTATTTTCTTTTTGTCAGCGATTCTTCACGATGTCCCAGTTTCATGATACTATTGTAGCAGAATTAAATGCGAAAAACTTTAAAAAAAGTTTTTGCTAAAAATCTTGGGGAGGGTCATTTGGACTGTGGTCCACATGTTAGACTCCTGTAATTTATGTGATATCGTAAAGGTGTTTCAGCTATCATGGATCCACTGGCATTGTGTTTTTTTGTTTTGTTTTTTATGCCCCCAAAGGGGATTTTTATTGCTTTTTCTATAAACTACAATGAAAAAGTAGGGAGGGAACATCTACATCTAAGGAGAAAGGAAAGAAAACCACTAATAACTAAACCCCCAAGTATAGGAGATAATTACATCAGCTTATGTAAGTGTTAGTCTAAAATGCTTGCATTACATTGAACATAGTCAATTAAGCTAAATTATTTATCTTTTAACCATTTTTAACTGTTTAAAGACAACCCCAAGAGCATCAATTATATCACATGCTTTAAGGCACCATTCAGAGTCCTTCAGCCTTCACTTTGCTTTATCTTTTCTAATCCTCAATTGGTATTCTCGTTTAGGGGCTTCCACTGGCATTGTTGTATACCTGAAATAACTTTTAATAATGGGATTGAAACAGCACCTTTGGCAAGATAACTCCTGCCATTTGCATTGCTCTGTAGCTGTGTTCGCATAAGATAATCTTTGTGCCAACCTATCTGCATAATCGGGATGTAAGCCAGATAAAAATAAAGTTATTTATGGGCTGGTTAACTGTTCTCAATGCTCTTCTTTTTGTTTTGTTTTTACATTCCATCTAACTTGGTCTGTGAACAACATAAATAGACTGTGATGTATGCTAGGGCTGAATAAAGCGTAAATATCTGAGGGATATAATTATCATGCCATGATGGTTTGAAAATGTAAATTGGAAACTTTCAGAGCAAATTCCTTCTGAATATTTTATTGTAATAATGTTATACTAGAACTTGTGGGAGACTAATGGCAAACGGGAATCATTGCCACCTAGGATCTATATACCCATGTAATAAGCATGGTAACGGGTTGATTATCACAATGTAAAATTTGTTTATTAGTAAATGTAGGGCTGAGACTTCCAGTTTGTGGATTGGCGATGGCGGTTGTTCTCCCCAGACCTTGGAGAGACGATTAGCACCTCAAGTGGCATCCCCACGGAGCCTTTGCGAAAGGCTCCAGGCCAGAGGGCTTTGAGGGTTAGCCTCTTTGATGGCTTGCTGCCAGAGAATCGAGGCTTCCCTCTGCTCTGATGGTCCTGCCGATGTGTGGCCTTCGGGCACAAGCTAATTCGACCGGGACAAGGGCGGGAGATCGAGTGGAATAACGATTGAAGTGAGCGAGGTCAGAGATATGACCAACAATGAACGTGAGTTCTAAGTAAATGGACTATTTGATAATCGGATCATACACACACCCCCGTGGGAAAAGCGGAGCGCAAAGAGGGACGCCTCTTAAGTGCATGGACAGATAAACGTATCAAAGGGGGAGCGGGAGGAAATAAACAGTGCGTGTATTTTGAGAGTTACTTGAGTGCAGATAGCGAAGTGACGAGTTCTTCAAGCCCCGGTGAAGCGGTTTGAAATTGTAAACAAAGTTGGAAAATGGCGGCATCCCAAGGAAAATTTAAAGCGAAACCGGGTAGTCAGAGCCCGAGGCCGGAAGAGGGAGCTGACGTCATGAAGATGTTAGCAGATATGCTCAAGCCAGTGATGGAGCAACTCGATGGTATTAAGCAGCAACTGACCTCGTTAAATCAAAATTTTTCTTTACAACAGCGCCAGCTGGCAGAAATGGAAAAGAAAGTGGAGCATGTAACTGAGAAAATTATAGAGATGGACACCGCAAGTAAGAAGATGAAGAAAATGATGGGAGAAGTTGAAATAAAACAAAATCTCCAAGAAAATCGTTTGTTACAGCTGCAAATGGAAAAGGCCAATATGATTCTCAGGTTCCAGGGAGTTCCTGAAACAGAAAAAGAAGATCTGAAGAAGACTCTGGGTGAGATTAATGCTCCAGTGACATGCTTGCCAGTGGAAGAAATAATAAAAAATATGGATATGGCCTATCGGGCTTACTCCAATTACATAAAAAAAATAGCCTGCCTGGAGAGATTGTGGTTAGATTTGCAAGAAGACAGACCAGAGATGCCATATTAAAGGCAACTTCAGCAACTCCAATGAAATTCGGGAATACAATAATCAAGACTTTCAAAGACATTCCATTTGAAATTCGTCAAAAGAGGAAGAGCTACAAGGATTTAACCTCTTTTCTTCAAACAAATGGAATTCAGTACTGGTGGGCGATCCCTGAAGGTGTCATCTTTAAAATCAACGATAAAAGGGAGAAGACTCCATCTTTAAAGCCAAAAAATTTCCTGAGACGTCAGCTGGGATCGGGGGAAGAATCTAAAGATGAAGAAACTAAGTCAAGTGACTCAGCTGCCTCTGGAACGGATGAAGACTCTGCAGCAGAAATGGGTTCGGGAGCAATAAAAGCCGTGTATGACTTTAGAGATAGAAAACCGAAGTAAGGGCAGAAGGACTCTGATAAATGGCCCTTTGAAGTAAAGAAGATGCTCAGAAAGTTCTCTCATAATACAGAAGCTGTGAAAAACAAGAAATCTACAAGTATATTGTTTTACTAACACTTTGAATATTAATATTTAGTTTAACACGGATGTGATCTTCCACTCTTGCGTTTTTAGTTAGTGTGGGTATCTTTCCTTTATCCATAGATGTAGTTCCCCTCCCTATATTTTTCTTTGTAGTTTTGTAGTCTCATTAAAAAAAATAATAAAAATATCCCTCCGGGGGTTTAAAAAAGAAGAAGTAAATGTAGGGCTCATAAGTAGAAAGAGATATGTCTGGATGGAAGAAGGCGAAGTGCAAGGAGTCTGCAGTGGCCTTAAGAAAATATCCTTGGTTCCACTTTTCTAGCAAGGAACTGTCCTTGGATTAATTTCATTTTGTACGTATTCAGCAGATTCCTAGCAGTGATGCTTTTATGACAATAAGTTGCATATATGATGGAAGGTGTGCAAGAAGGACAACAAAATGAAATGAACGGGCCTTTTTATTGAAATGAAATGAACTGGCCCTTCCCCCATGAGGATGCAATGCTGGAGGCAGGCAGGGGAAGAGGAGCAGAAGCCATTGCTGCCTCTAGTTGCTGAGCCTGTGGCACTGGAGGTGGGCAGAGGGAGGAGGAGTGGAACATTCTGCCCACCCCTTACCCTCCTCAGTCACAAATGTGGCAGCAATATGGAAGGCAGGCAGGAAAAGGAGCAGGTGGAACTCTTTCTACCCCTCCTATTGGCCACAGAGGCTACAGCACTGGAGGTGATTGGGGCAGTAGGTGTAGGACACTCTGCCCACCCCTGTTCTCCTCAGGTGTCAGTGGCACTAGAGGTAGGCAGGGGAAGGAACCATCGGAGCTGTTGCTGCCCCCCAGCTGCCAAGGCTGTGGCATTGGAGGCAGGTGGGGGAAGGAGGATAAGAAGCCCCCATTGTTTCCTTCTGTCACTAAGGTGACAGAACTGTGGGCACGTGAGGGAATTGGAGCCCCCCCCCCATGGCATGTGTGTTTAACCTGAGCAGGCTGGCTGGCTAGCAAGTGACCAGTCTGTTCAAATGAGGGTAGATAAGGATGGGATTCCTCCCATGAGTCTCATGGGTCCCCATTTGTCTGTCTGCCTGTCTGTCTGTGTATCTATCTAAAGTCAAGTGTTCATCATTTCCTGTGACATATGTTGTTGTTGTTGTTCAGTCGCAGAGTCGAGTCCAACTCTTCGCGACCCGATGGACCACATTACGCCAGGCCCTCCTGTCTTCTGTCGTGCTCCGGAGTTTGCCTTGTGACATATACAGATAGTAAAAACCAGGGGTCATTTTGTAGAAAAGGAGGTGCAGGAGCTCATTAGCATAACTCATTAGCATAACTTATTTGCATATGCCACACCTCCTGACATCACCAGAAGTGTGTCAGAAGGCAACACCCACCGTTCAGGCACCACTGGACGCTTTTGGATTGCTAGCTATGAGGAGGGGGGATCCGCAGATCTGCCCTCACAGAGGAGGGAGAGCTTGTACCTGAATAAAACTTAAAGCTGCCACTGGACTGTTTTGGATTGCTATCTATGGGGGGGGGATGCACAGATCTGTGCAGGAAGGAAGGAAGGAAAAAAGAGAAGGAAAGGAGAGAAAGAGGGAAATAAGGAGGAAAAGGGAAAGAAGGAGAGAAGGAAAGAAGGAGGGAAAGGAAGGAAGGAAGGTAGGTAGGTAGGTGCTGGGAAAGGCAGGCGGCGGGGCTCTGGAGGCCTTCCCCGGGCTCTGTCACCACCCCCTGTATTGAAGGCCTGAACACCAGGCTCTGACGTCACTGCCATGGCTACGAGAGTAGTCATAACAATCTCCCTGTGCTTATGTGGGGCTAAGCAGAGGGCTGCTGTTTTGTGTAATGATTTCAGATGGAGTGTTGAAGACTTCAGTGGAAGGAGACGAGAGC